TTCATATTTTTAAATGACAATTTAAAAAAGAATTAACTTATATATATAATTAAATTTTTGAATACAATATTATAATAATAGTGTTATAAATATTAAAATATTTGAATATAGTGTTATAATAATAATAATAATATTATTATTATTATTATTATTATTATAAATAAAAAATGATTAAATATTTCTTTTACATACATATTTTAATATAAATATAATAAATTAAAATTTATATTTAATTAATAATAATTATAAATATTTATTTATATATAAAAAAATAGATAGTAAAATTAATTTATTATAAATGTAATTATCTTTTTAAAAATAATATAAATCGGGACGGGACGGAGAACCCGAAACCCAGCTGGGACGGGGATGGGGACTTAATTTCTAACCCCGGCGGGGATCGAGGGCGGAGACGAGGATGGTTAAAATAGTCGGGGACGGGGATCGGGGGGGCAAAACCCACCCCCGCCCCGCCCCGTTATCATGCCTATTGCAGATGAATTCATCTTTCTTAAGCTTGATTAGTGTTCATCAATTCACTAGACTGGATCATGAAGACCCTTATATTCATTTGTCTACTTTTTATGAGTTGATTGGTACCATGGGATTTAAAGCAGCAAATCTTGAATCTACATATTTGAGATTATTTCCTTTTTCTTTGGCAGGTAAGGCAAAGGAGTGGCTGAAAGCACATCCTAATCAGAGTTTGACTAATTAGAGTAGCGTAGAAGAGAAGTTTCTGAATAGATTTTTCCCACCATCCCGCTACATCAAAGCAAAATCCGACATCACTTCTTTCAGACAAGGAGCAGATGAACATTTTTATGAAGCATGGGAGAAATTTAAATCACTGTTAAGAAGATGCCCAAATCATGGATTTGATGACATTGCTCAGTTAAATATTTTCTATACTGGCTTGCGGTATGATGCAAAGATGTTATTAGAGGCTGCAGCAGGAGGATCCATGTTGGATGTAGAAATTGAGCATGCCACAAGAATTATTGATGCACTAGCTTTTACAGATCAACAGGCCCAACATGAAAGACATCCAGTTCAAAGAAAGGGAGTACTTGAACTTAACACCTCAGATGCTATCTTAGCCCAGAATAAACTTTTGACCCAACAAATTGAAGCATTGAACCAGAAAATAGAGAAATTACCTCAACAAATGCATACAGTACAATCCATTCCTAATCAACAGATGAGTTGTGACGTGTGTGGAGGTGATCATGCAAATGAACAATGCTCTTATCAAGGCAACATTCAACAAGAAGAAGCTAATTATATGGGTGCTCAAGGTAGTAGTCAAGGCAGACAAGATAATTTCCCTAATTACAACAATTATCAGAATAATTTTGCACAAGGATGGAGAGGGAATCATAATCAGAATCATAATTTTGGGTGGAACCAAGGTGTTAGCTCATCTATTAGACAACCTACATTTCAACAACAGTCATATCAGCAACCTCCATATTATCAGCAGCAACAACATTATCCTTCAATGCTTGACAGAATGAGTAAATTGGAGGATACTTTAGAAAAAATCATGCAAAACACTATGGCTAATCAGAAAAATACGGAGGCTTCATTCAGAAATATAGAGACCCAGATAGGCCAACTGGCTAAGCAATTATCTAAGCATCAACAAGAAGGACAATTTTCAACTAACACACAAACCAAACCCAGGGAGCAATACAATTCAATAACTACAAGGAGTGGTAAGGTTATAGGAGAAGGGATTGGTGAGAACCTGGCTGTAGAGAAGGAAATCCTACAAGAAAAAGAGGATGAAAAGAAGAAAGATGAGTGTGAAGGAGAAAAATAAAAGTGAGAGTATAGAAAAAGAAAAAAATACTGAAAAAGAAGAAAAAATAAAAAAAGTGAGAAAAAGAGGGAGAAAGATGAGAGTCAAATACCGCAACTAAAGGATTTACCATATCCTCGTCATCCTTCTAAGAAAGATAAAGAAAGACAGTTTGCAAGATTTATGGATATTTTCAAGCATTTACAAATTAATATTCCATTTATGGAAGCTATGGAGCAGATGCCGACTTATGCAAAATTCATGAAAGAGTTGTTAACTAAGAAAAGGAGATTTACTACAGAAACAGTGGAGCTAGAAGTAGGATGCAGCGCTATAATTCAGAAATCATTACCTCAAAATTCCAAGGATCCTGGCAGTTTCACTATACCAGTCACAATTGGGACATTACAAGTAGGTAAGGCATTACTTGATTTGGGTGCTAGTATAAATCTAATGCCTTTGTTTATGCTTAAAAGAATAGGAGACTTGGAAGTAAAGCCTACAAGAATGACACTGCAGTTAGTTGACAGATATCTAAAATTCCCTTATGGTGTGGCGGAGGATGTTTTGGTCAGAGTTGATAAATTTATGTTTCCAGTTGATTTTGTTGTGATGGATATGAAGGAAGACACTGAAGTTCCTCTTATACTAGGAAAACCTTTCATGAAGACAGCAAAAGTAATTATAGATGTTGACATGGGCAAGTTGAAAATTAGAAGTGGAGATGATGAAGTTAATTTTAATCTGTTTGAAGATGTACAACAACCGGAAGACAAGAAAGATTGCCTCAGAATAGATAATTTGGAGGAATTACCCATCTCAACTGAAAAACAAGATTACAAGCCTGTTGCACAACCCCAAAGACATCTCAATCTGACTATGAAGGAAGTTGTTCAAAGAGAGGTACTGAAACCTCCTGAAGCAGGTATGATTTATCCAATCTTTGACAGTCGTAAGGTTATTCACAATGAAAAGAATAAATTCATTCCCACAAGGACAGTCAAGGGATGGAGAATGCGTATAGATCACCTTGATCACTCACCTGCATGAGCCCTAAAGCAAATAAGCGTCAAGCTGAAGACGTTAAACAAGCGCTTCTGGGAGGCAACCTAATGTTTTGAATTTGTTTTATTTCTTTTTGCAGTTTAAGTTTTTTGTGCATTTTTCTTTCTTAGGCTCTTTCTTTGCAAGATTGTTCCAGGTACATATTGAACTTCTCCTCAAGACTTTGAAGTCTTACTTCAATGGCCTAGGGATAGTCCAACTTTTTCGGGAGGGGGTGAGAAAGTCTGCAGCTGAGGCGGAGGCACAAGAAGAAGGACAATCAGCAAGTGAAGAAGAATAAAAGGGAGGCAACAATTTAATTTAAGTTTAAGTTTTTTTGGTGTGTTAAGTTATTTTTTTTTGTTAATTTGATGTTTTTAAGTTTTTTATTATTATTTTAATTTGTTTTGTTTTGAATATTTGAATTGACACTTAATGTGGTGAATGTTTAAATTGATGTGATTAAATTTTTGTCCCATACAATTTGGATTAGAACCAATTATGAAATTATTGTTATTGTCTAATTCAAATCTGGAACTTGAAGAAAACCATTTTGATTACTCCAATAACAAGTGATTTTGGGATGATGAGTATGATAGTGAAAAGGAATTGATGAGGAGAATTAGGAATTAACTGAATTGGAGAAGATAGCCAAAACCCATGTGAGTAGAGAACCAAAAACAGATAAATTGAGTGTCAACACTTTGTGATGATAACTGGTATTGATTGATTCTTTGATGTGATTGCATGTTGGCAAGATTTGAAAATGATAAAGAAAATTTTTCTTTGTATTAGATATAACCCAGAGTCAAATAGCCAACCCTGTATTAATTATAGGACATCCATTTGAACCCCTTCTGAGCCAAAAATAATATTGTTCTTAAACAGAACCCCTAAGCCTAAACACTATTTATCTACCTTCTTATATTTGAGAAAGGAAATGAGTATGAATGTTATTATTTTTCCTATTGTTGGGTATTGCTATTGTTGTCCTATGGGTATTATTGGGGTGTTATTCTAAAAAAAAGGTGTAAAGGAAAAGGAAAAGCAAAGCTTAAAAATTGGCAAAGCCAAAAAGGATACATGCAAAAGCATGAGAAAAAAAAAGTCAAAAGGGGAGAATAATAACTTGTGAGATTATTAGCTCACTATCATTATGTTAGGGACAAATGCATGAAGTTTGAAACCCAACTTGAGGCAATGTTAATCAAGAATCATTCATATGAGTTAAATTTCTCAAAAATACTTTTGTATAATCCAGAAAAACCAATGATTCTTTCTTAGCGCAGCCTCATTCCAAGCCTCAAAAGACCTTTTGATTTAAGTCTTGATTAACAAATTTTGATTGCTTGAAGATGATTATCAATATTGGATTGTTTAAATGAAGTGAATGAATGAGATAAACACTTACCTGTGAGAATTAGAGATGATTATATATAACTCTATTTGAGAGATCATGCTTCTCTGAGGATAGTTGAGGACTAATTATTCTTTGTTGGTTTCTGTAACTTGAATGCTTATGTGTTCTATTTTCATTTGGAGTTGTGAGCATCACCTCTGAAAATTTTTATGTTGTGGTTCTGGAAGAGAAAGTGATAATAGGCGATGGTTTTGTTTTGGAAAAATTACTTTGCTTGGGACAAACAAGATTCTAGGTTGGGGGAGTTGTTAAGTGGTAAAAAATTGATATAATTATGCCTTTAATTGTTATGAAACCACTTAACTTATGCTAATTCTAATCTATTTTTCTCCCAATATAGGATGAATTCGAGAATACATTGATACAAGAGTAAGGAGCATTGTATCAAGGTATTCTCGAATTCATCCTATATTGGGAGAAAAATAGATTAAAATTAACATAAGTTAAGTGGTTTCATAACAATTCAAGGCATAATTATATCAACTTTTTACCACTTAATAGGGTTCAAAGTGGTGCAGCAAGAATGATTGAAGGAGGTGCTACAGGTTAGGGTTCAAAGTGGTGCGACAAGAACGATTGGGTACTGGGTGGCGCAACTGAGTTCTGGTGAGGCGGAGCATAAGATGGTGTTGGTGCAACTCCGGTGAGCGAAACACAAGGTTGGGTTCAAGGAGGCTCAGTGAGGGTGTGAGGAACACTGAGGTGGTTAGTTGCGGGGTAAGAGAGAAAGGAATGGGCCTGAGTGAAGGTATATGGAAGGGAAATTTAGTGTTGAGTGAAGGGGAGAAGGATGTCAAGGGGAGATTGGTGAAACTCACTTTGGAAGAATGGATGGGTTTAAGTGCTCCGAGGCGTGTGTGTGAGGTGAAGGATGGTCGTATGGGTGAGAGGGAGGATGAAAAATATTTTTTTTCTAAAACAGAACAAATATGTTAACAAAAGAATTTATTTTTTTATTTATTTCGATCATTTTTTTTATTTTAAAAACTAAAATATTTAAAAGAATATAAATATTTTTTCTTTTTAATCTAATTTTTTTTTAAATTCATATTTTTAAATAAATGTTGATATTTATTATTATTATTTTTTTATTTCACAAAATTAGGTGCGGACACTTAATAATTAAATCTTATGATTTTTATTTAAAATTATTTATGTTTAATTAAAAAAAGTCATAATAATTTAAATTTTATTAATTTTATAATTTTACATAATTATTACTACAAATATAATTCTCCAATTAATAGTAATATTAACACATTTATTAAATTGAATCTCTTTACTTTAATTAATTATTTTAAAAAAAATTGTAACAGGTTTTTTTCAAATAAATATGATAACATAAAAATAATTTTTAACTTGATGAATTTATTATTAATATTAGATTATATTATTATGATTAATTAAATTTTAAATATTTTAAATAAGTTTAATTAGTCTTTCCACTTACACATAAAATGACTAATATAAACTTAAAATATTTAACTAACCATTAAATTAACTAACTGAATTATTAATATAAATTTAAAATATCAATTCAATAATTAAAATAATTTTAAGTTTCTTATTTATATATATATATATATATATTAAAATATATTTTTATTAACATATAAATAATATATGTATATAAACTAAATTAATAATTAATTTAATAATTGAGTTGATGACTGATTTAGTGATCGATTCTATAACTAAATCAGTGATCGATTTTGTCATCGAATCGGTACTAACTTAATAATTAATTTTAATTTTTTTTATTCACATGTTAAATTAAAAATATAATCTAATAATTATATTACTAAATTATTTAATATATTTAATATATTATTAAAAATATTATCAATTATTTTAAGTTATTAAATATATTTATATTTTATATATTATTAAAATATTTATATAAATGAAAAATAGTGACCAATGATTATAAAAAAATTTAATTACTGAATCAGTTACTAACTATAAAAAAATTAGTTAATGATCTAGTTATTATTAATGACTAAATTTTATGTCACTAATTTGAATCACTATTATTAATTATTTTTGTAGTAGAGAACTTTCCAATTTTCACTTTATGGTGAAAGATTTTAAAATATGGATACGATTAAAAAGTTTAATATTGAAGGGAAGTTAGGTTCATCAAAGTTAGGAATTATCACTGATTATTACAATTTCTGTTTGCATTATAATAAAGTATATATGAAAACTAAGAATCCTTTATAAGTTGGTTTATAATTTTATTTAAAAGGTTTAATAATCTCTTTTTAATCTTGTTTTTACTGTTAACTTTTTATTTTATTTATTATTTTAAAATGATTTTTTACATATTAAATAAAGATTTATTTATTAATTACTTGAATTATTTTTTATGTTGATTTTTTTATGATCTGAATTTTTGTTATTTAAAATGCTTGAAATAAGAGAGTAAGTGATAGGCAAAGTTCACTCATCTTAATGTTTGCGTCAAAACAATTTTGAAAAAATTTATTAAATTATCAAAACCCTTTGTAACGCCTCTAAATACAAATAAATCAAAACAATATACATAACATCAAATGGACATACTACAAAAAAATTACAAGACAGTAAAAGAAATTTTAGAAAATTTTATTCGAACAAGATCTTTCACTATAAGATATAAAATTTATGAGAATTTAGTATTATCAACTTATGAGAATTTAGTATTATGAACTTATATATCCATTGATAATTCAACAATTAATTATTGCCAATCATTTTCCGTCAAAATTATTAATGGGTTGAGATAATATCAGTTTGAGTTTAATTTACTGACGATCTATTTTTGTCATCCGTCGATAATTTACTTTGAATATTAAACGAGCGGGTTATTCTTTCTTCCTTACTCATCTCCTAACCCACCTCAATCAATATTAATCGCCAAAGTTGACGAATTTGGTGATTCTAACGTGCCTGTGAGCAGTTAACGTTTTTCAATTAACCTATTCTTATTCTAAAAAGAATTAGAAAGTATAAATTCTGTAATTCAATGGTTAACAATTATGTTAATATATTAAAGAAATATCAAATATTAAGAATATTTTAGTTTTAATTTTAATTACTTAAATTAAAATAATTAATATATTATATTTTTTACTTTTTACTTTTTTTAACAATATAAATAAAATATATGTCTAATATTTCTCGTTAAGTTAATTTAATATGTGTTTATTTAAATTTAAAATTTCAAGTTTTATTCTCCTTCTCTTTATTTTTATTTTCTTTATTTTATTTTTGTTTGTAAATTTTATCTTTTTTTTTATGAGATCACCTCTTGATCTTACTTCCTTCCCGTATATTTTTTCTTTATCAGTTTATTTTTTGTCATGAACATTATAATAATAGCAATTTTGAACATGTTCGTATGTGGTGATTCTATATAATAATAAAAAATTAAATTCTATTTTAAAAAATTATATTCATGACAGACAAATATATGAGATTAAGTTATTTAAATTGAAGTAATACAGGAGTTTTAGATAATTTGCTCATAGATAATTAATTATCAATAAAATTAGAATTCATACTAAATATTCTACAAGATTTTATAGAAAAACTTTTCCAGTAAAATTTTAAACTAAATAAGATTTTTATTTTTCCTACAAAATTTCAAATTCGCATAAACGTTTCGTTAAGTAGTAAAAAATTGATATAATTATACTTTGAATTGTTATGAAAACACTTAACTTATGTTAATTCTAATATATTTTTCTCCTAATGTAGATGAATTCGAGAATACTTTGATACAAGAGTAAGGAGCATAATTGTCAACATAATTTGAGCAAAACTGAAAGGAGGAAGAAGATTTCCAGCATGGAAGTCGCTCGAGCGAGATAGACTCTCGCTTAAGCGAATATCAGTTATTCTTCTCTGAAAGTCAGTCGCTCAAGCACCAGTAAATTCGCTTGAGCGAATATCAGTTATTCTTCTCTAGAAGTCAGTCGCTCAAGTGCCAGTAAATTCACTTGAGCGAATATTAGTTATTCGTCTCTGGAGCTCACTCGCTCAAGTGAGCGATTTGTCGCTTGAGCGAAAATGGGGAACTTTCACTTGAGCGAGTGTGTGTAGCTTGAGCGAAAGACATGAGACCCAATATTTCCTATAAAAAGATAAAATGTGTTTTGAGGAAAAATGTTTTTTTGAAGAGAAGAGGCGCGACTACTGCTAGGGTTTCGTCCAATCTTCATCAATTCTTCACTTCTTCCTCATTTGGAGCATTGTAATGACCAGCATGAGTGGCTAACTTCATTCTCTTGGGATTGCGTGCACTTCCTTTGAAATCTTTTGTATCTTGGTGATATTTTGAGATATTAATCTATGTTTTGATGTTGTTATTCTTATCTTCTGTGCCTTGGAATGATTTATTCTTGATGTTTGGGATATGATTGAAAAATATATCTTGAACCCTAGATCACGATAAGAATATTTGTTACGTTAATTTACAGGAATGGATGAATGTATTAATTACTTAACACCCTAACCCTAATGCTGAAAAATCTCTTAATTGTGTGCGAAATCAACATTTATTAGGTTTTCTTATGAATTGAATGTGTGAAAAATCAACATGGATGATTTGAGTAGGTGACATCAACATTGTTAGGTTAATTGATGATCTTAATTGGACATAGCCATTGCAAAAGAGGGAAAAGGAAGGAACTCAATCCTAAGTACCTTTAATTGATCTTTTCTAAACAATTTACAATTCTTTGTCATTTAATTTCAATTTAACTCTTTATGCAAAACCCATCTTGTTTTAATCCACTTAGTAAGCATATAATTGGAAATTTTCATTAAAATCGTTCCTTGTGGGATCAACTTTTATTTAATTGAAATACTATACTGTGATTGATAATTTTGGTATGCTTGCCAATAATTCAACAAGTATTTCTGGTGTCGTTGCCGGTGAACGACGTTCCTTGAGAATTATTTGTTTATCTTATTAAGTATTTTATTTTTAATTCTATTTTTGTTTTAATTTTAGTTTTATTTTATTTAATTATTGTCTTGTGCTAATTTTTGCTTGAGTTACTCTTTGATTTATGCGTTTAAGAGAACAGGTATCTTCAGAGCAGTTAGAATTTAATTCGAAGATTAAAAAAACCGCTCGAAGGAACCGTGGTAGAAGAAGAAGGGAACTCAAGAACAAGCCACAGGAGAATCATTTAACTTCTCTTCCACACTCAATTTACCAGACCCAATTATACAAGACATGGTTGAAGAAGGAGTTAATCTAAATCCAAATCAAAATCCAAATTCAAATTCACCTAGAAGAACACTCAGAAACTATGTTATGCAGCAAGGTCCAAGACACTTTTCCAACATTGCAATACCAGCCAACCAAACATCAGAGATGAAGCCAGCTTTATTAAGTTTGATTAGTGCTCATCAATTCACTGAATTGGATCACGAAGATCCATACATTCACTTGTCTACTTTTTATGAATTGATTGGTACCATGGGATTTAGACAAACAGATATTGAATCTGCATACCTAAGATTATATCCTTTTTCTTTGGCTGGCAAGGCAAAGGAGTGGTTGAATGCACATCCTAATCAGAGTTTGACTAATTAGAGTAATGTAGAAGAGAAGTTCCTGAACAGACTTTTTCCACCATCCCGCTACATCAAAGCAAAATCTAACATCACTTCTTTTAGACAAGGAGCAGATGAGCCTTTTTGTGAAGCATGGGAGAAATTTAAATCACTGTTGAGAAGATTCCCAAATCATGTATTTGATGACATTGCTCAGTTGAATATTTTCTATACTGGTTTGCGACCTGATACAAAGATGCTATCAGAGGCTGCAACAAGAGAATTCATGTTAGATGTAGAAATTGAACATGCCACAAGAATTATTGATGCACTAGCTTCTACAGACCAATAGGCTCAACATGATAGACATCCACTTCAGAGGAAGGGAGTACTTGAACTTAGCACCTCATATGCTCTCTTAGCCTAGAATAAACTTATAACCCAACAGATTGAAACATTAAACTAGAAAATAGAGAAACTACCTCAACAAATGCATACAACACAATCCATTCCTAACCAACAGATGAGTTGTGACATGTGTGGAGGTGATCATCTGAATGGACACTGCTCTTATCAAGACAACCTACAACAAGAATGTGCTAATTATATGGGTGCTCAAGGTAACAGTAGTCAAGGCAGACAAGGTAATTTCCCTAGTTCCAATAACTATCATAACAAGGTGTTGGACCATCTAATCAGCAACTCCCAAACCAGCAACAGTCATATCAGCAACCTCCATATCAACATCAGCAACAACATTATCCTTCAGCGCATGACAAAATGAACAAATTGGAGGACACTTTAGAAAAATTCATGCTACTTTTTCTAGTCAGAAAAATACTGAGGCTTCATTCAGAAATTTAGAGACCCAGATGGGCCAATTGGCTAAACAACTATCGGAGAAGCAACAAGGAGGACAGTTTTCAGCTAACACACAAACCAACCCTAGGGAGAAATGCAATTCAATAACTACAAGAAGTGGAAAAGTGGTAGGTAAGGGTATTGGTGACAATATAGTTGTTGAAGAAGAAGTTCTGATAAAAGAAGATGAAAAGCAAGAAGGGGAGAATAATAAAGAAAGACGTATTCCTAATAAGAAGAACGAAGAGGGAGAGAAAAAACAAAAGATAGAAAAAGGAGGGAGTAAAAAACCATTTGTAGAGAAGTTATCATATCTCAAGGTTCCCTCACAGATAGACAAAGAAAGACAATTCACCAGGTTTATGGATATATTCAAAAGACTGCAAATCAATATACCCTTTGTGGAAGCTATAAAGAAAATGCCAATATATGCCAAACTCATGAAAGAGCTCTTAACTAAGAAAAGAAGATTTGCTGATGAAATAATGGATTTAAAGGCATGGTGTAGTGTTATATTCCAGAAATCATTGCCTCAAAATTCCAAGGACCCTGGAAGCTTCATTATACCAGTCACAATTGGTACATTACCAGTGAAAAAAGAATTACTTGATTTAGGGGCCAGCATAAACCTCTTGCCATTATCTATGCTCAAAAGAATAGGAGACTTGGATGTTAGACCAACTAGAATGACTTTGCAACTGGCTGACAGATCAATAAAGATTCCTTATGGAGTAGTATAAGATGTTTTAGTTAGAGTGGATAAATTCATATTTCTTGTTGATTTTATGATTATGGACATGGAGGAAAATAAGGAAGTCCCATTGATCCTGGGAAGACCATTTATGAAGACTGCCAAAGTAATTATAGATGTGGACAAGGGAAAGTTGAAAATTAGAAGTGGAGATGATGAAGTTAATTTTAATCTTTTTGAAGTTGTACAACAACCGGAAGACAAGAAAAATTGCCTCAGAATAGATACTTTGGAGGAATTACTCATCTCAATTGAAAAACAAGATTACAAGCCTGTTGCATAACCCCAAAGACATCTCAATCTGACTATGAAGGAAGTTGTTCAAAAAGAGGTACTGAAACCTCCTAAAACAAGTATGATTTACCCAATCTCTGACAGTTGCAAGGTGAATCCTGGGATGACAGTTATTCGTAATAAAAAGAATAAATTCATTCCCACAAGGACAATCAAGAGATGGAGAATGCGTATAGATCACCTTGATCACTCACCTACATGAGCCCTAAAGCAAACAAGCGTCGAGCTAAAGACGTTAAACAAATGCTCCTAGGAGGCAACCCAGTGTTTTACCTTTATTTTCTTTTTTTTTATTATTTCCATTATAATTTAAGCATGAACAAATTTGAACAATGTTGAACTAGATTTATGTGAAAACTTTTTGAGTTGTTAATCATTGAATTGCATTTGAGTATCATGTTAATAGTCAAAATTCATTGAAATTTGCTCAAGCGACAGATGTTTCACTCAAGCAAGTTTAATTTGTTTCTCTCTATCTTGGCTTCGCTCAAACGAAAAAATTCGCTCAGACACATTTGCTAAAGCGACAGATTTTTCGCTCAAGCGAATGTATGTTATTTCTCTCTGTCTTTGGGTTGCTTAAGCAAATCTTAACTACTGATTTTCGCTTGAGTGAAAGTGCCCAAATTTGTTTTTTTTTTTAAATCACGAACTGGGTCAGTTTTCTCACTTTCTCTACAACCCATCTCCGAACCTACTCCATTCTCTAGCCACCTTATCCCATTTCTTACCCTTTTAGGCTTAGTTTCACTCTTCTAAACACATTTTCGACTACTTGGGGTGATTTTCACAACTTTCTACCGATTGGAATCACACAATTTCCAGTTTTGGTCACTGTTCACTCCTTGTTCTTGC